TTATATAAAAATTAAATTAAGTTAAGTTTTAATAGATTTTATTAGGGCCCTAGTATTGGATCTAGATTGGGTCTAGATTAAAGAAGTTCAACCTGGACCCAGGCTGGGTTGGGTTTTGGGTCGAAGGTCTCGACCCAAGTTGGGTTATGCGGAAGTCTATAAGCCAGCTATATCTCAAAAGAAGCAAGATATTACTATTCCAGAGCCTCAGATTGATACAGAGAGCTGTGTATCTATAAATCGTCGTGGAAGACAAATACACCTCCCACAACGATTCCGGGATTGAGAAAAAGCTGTATATAGCTTTACTAGCATCGTATATCTGCTACATCAAAGAATCCAAGTATAATTTATTTAGTATGTTGCTTTAAAGCTTCATTCTTAATGTTGGTTGCCATACAGAAATCCATGCGTCAGGTGATCATGTACGGTATATTCAACACGGTACTAAATCCTCGGCAATATGAGTCTGATCCAGTAATCCAAGAACATATCTCTTTACTTCTTGAAATAGAGACACATGCTATCCACAACGGCATCAGCACCATGGCGGTCATCTCTGCCTGTAGCCCCAGCCCATTCACCGTTACCAAGGTGTGGCACTGGCGTTACTTCGCCCTCCCTTCCACCAACATGCCAGTTGCGGTTTTTGTTTGTGTGGAACTCGAGCCCGTTGAAATAGCCGTCGTCGTGCCCCGCAAAGACGGTCATGTGATCTATTTTTTCACCGTCCTTAAATTCGAAAGGAGGAACGGGGCGATAGTCGGTGTGAGGATCTCTGCCCCCGATACGCCCGCTTTGGTGGCCATTGTCAAATTGGAATCTAAGTGCACCGAGGACAGGGTAGCCCTTCCATTCCGCCTCCCAGGCCTCAATACGCTTTATTTTGTGTTCTTGATCTCTCAGATCATAGGCACTGCCCCCGAAGCCACCATAGGGTCCGTCCTTCTCCAAGGCTAGGATATTAGCCATGGTGTTTTATGGAGATTCTTAGGAGGTATAAAAAAATTGGTCTTTTTTGTATGGTATGAGCTTGATTATAAAATATTAGAATGATGAGAGTTGGGAGAGCAAGCGATGGGATGCATTAGAATGTTGCGCCTTTATATAGGTTTCCTTTCCACCAGAATAAACCCACGGATATATCATGACGACACATGTTTAGCGCGCTGCAACCCTATCTGTGCCAATAAAAAAAAGGGAAGCATCCGTTTCAAAGATCATGCTTGTCTCTATGACGTTTCCATTGTTCTTTTATGGGCTAGACAAAGAGGCAAGTCCCTTCTATAACGTGAGAATAAGCTTATGTCCATAGATTGGTCTAACACGCTCATAAACATGCCATAGGAGAAGCCGCTTTCATTTATGCAGAATCATCTGTTACTATCTCCGGACATTCTCCAAAGAACTGTCATGGTACACTATGTCATACTCCGGAGTAAACTATCCGCAGGGTACCATGGACCCGTGAACCAAGGATACCGCGCTTTCGGAAATGCTTTTGCGCAGTACTATATGCTATAGATGGAACACGCTTTGTATGGATAGAATTAGATGTACTTGTGAAAACCCTTATCGAAAGCATATTATTATAGTCTTGTCTTGGATGTGTCTGTGACTGAAAATAGTAACACCCTAGCCCCCGTAATTCGCCACAACCTTTCGAAATCAAGTGATTCTGCTGCACCTGAAAGTTCAAAGAGAAACTCTAAATAGGCTAGACCAGTCCGATGATGGTATGACTTACCGTTCTTCTTTTTTAGTTGCTTCATATGATATGAATCTCAGCACGAATGCGTACCGAAACACGGATGACCGGCACATGTCATTATGTGCGAGAGGTTTACCAGTGATAGTGGCATGGTGGTAGAATGCATGCATTGCTGTTTTATCTATGAATGGTAACTACAGTTAACGTATTCCACAAGCAAGTGAGCGAGCCCACTCATTTGGGACATGACCAAAAACCTGACTTGATTGAACCACCAGCCATGCTACCAAAAGTACGCCAGAGTTCCAGATATGAGCGACCATGGCGCGTGATGTACTAAGAGATTGCCGTTGCCGTTCCAATATAGGGATAATTTGGCATAATCGGTGCGGCTGTCAGGTCTGCTATCGTTGCCCCTAGGGAGCTGGATAGGATACGCGCTGAGGTCTCAAGAGGTGTTTCGAAGTTTGTGGGAAGGTTGTGAGTTTAAGCCTTGGGGTAGCCCTCTTGCCTGTTCCAGAGCGTCTAGAACTCGTGCGGTCTGTTCATATGACACAAGACCAGCCCATTAGATCACAGAGGCAAACGAATGTTCTTTCTATTGCCATAGTAAAACTGAAGAGGGCTCCGCGAACATGGCGGGGACATACTGGATAACCAATGGCATACTACTATAATGACCTACCTTTTAGCTTAGCCAGGTGGAAGATATCAATTATGGTACGCAATACACCTAGAGCGGTAGGCGCTGCAAAATGATGATTTGTTGGCTTAGATTCTGCATATTCGCCCGCCCTTTTTGATATGATGTCTATTAACTAGCGTTCGTCGGTTCCCGGCTTGGCCCGCCCCGAACCCGACCTGATATCAACTCTTAAGTGCTATAGACAGGTCACAGTTAGGTGACTTAGGTTTCTAAAATTCTGTATAGACTAAATACAATAAAGCGCAGGGGGTCACCCTTAGCATCTTCAGTGGTCAGCTCACTTGTAACCTCGCTGGGGGACGTCTGTATGTTTCAAGAATAGTTTCATACACAGTTCCCAGTGCATCTTATCATGTACCCACCATTCCAATCAATCAATCAATCAATCAATCAAAATTCTATTAACCTGTTCGAGCCTAACTACTGAACGTCTAGCTATGCAGGTGCTTCAAAAGAGCCTAGAATCTAATTGTAAACGCCGTATATCCCACCCATAGAGAAGATAGTCTAAATCGAAGAGCTTTTAACTATAACTAAAGTTACCCGCTATTCCTCTAGTAGTTGTCTTTTCCTTCTATCTATATTTCTATCCCCTTCTAGTACTCCTAGTAAATCAATATTTTAGTATATATATAAAAGAATTAACCAAATCTCTCCTAGAGTAACTATTTACTTATTATCTTTTATATCTATCTATCTTTAGTGATGACTAGTTTACTCAACCGCTCGGAATTAGCTAAGTAATCCTATTCAATATATAAATTCGGCGACGTAGCGCATCGCCTGCGGGTAGAATATAATCTTATTATAGTCTATCCGTCTACAGACCCCTAGGCCTAGCTTATTAAGTATTATACTTCTCTATATAATGTACAACGAGCATTATAGTAAAATATACTATAATATTTAGAATTCTAGTGTACAGTGGCACTGGTCTAAGTCCACGATTTTAATTTTATAAAGAAAGTACTTTAACTCGCTTCTCTAAGTCCTTATTTAAATAATAATTAATATGTATAGCTTAGAAAGGTTCCGGTAAAGATTTAGTATTCTTTTATTCAAAATCTCTACCAGTCTATATATTATATAGCCTATCTTTTCTATCTTCTACTTCCTAGTCCATCTATCCCTAATACAATAGTATATCTACCGTTTTGCCACCGCAGCCAGACAAATAGCTTTACCAGTTTACTATATCCCCTCTCGTGTAGCTTCGTCGACTATCTTATTTCCTAGCACCCCAATATATATAAAGATCCAGCAAATCTAGACCTAGTTTGCATATTATATCGCTGTACAATATAATAGATCTAACTCAATATATATTAACTAAATAGTCTTTACGAGTTATGGACTATCTAAATTACGGCCTAGCTATTTATAAAGACTATAGCTAATTTATCTTCTTTCCATAGCTTATATAAGATTATTTAAATCCTGGTCAGCTTCTCTGCGTAGACTATCGATTCTTCTTCCATCTTTAATATACTATTCCAGAGCCAGCCCTATAAAAAATAGATAGTACTAGCTCCAATTTAACCATTTAAACCGCTTCTATTTATATATATTACAATCCCTTGTCAACTAGTATAGTAGTACCTATAGTAGACTAATACAGCCTCGTAGCTATTAATTACTACTACCATAAAAGATTCCTACAAAGCTAGGATATATAGCTTACGGATCTTCTACTTCTTTTTTTTTAGAAACCATAGTAGACCTCCTTTCTAATTCAATATCTCTATCAATATCTACCCGCTACACTATTATTCTTATAATATATATAATTTAAATATCGATTTAAAAATAAACCAATTCTAGCCTAGTCTAGATTTTAACTATTGTTTTTTCAATAATCTATTATAATTAAATATATACCGGTAATATATATAATTCTATATCTAAAGCCATTGCTACGGTACCTTGGAAGACCCTATTAATTAATAATACCATTTATTTCTAGATTTAAATAAATTCTACCAGTATCTTTTGATTTATCAAGGCCATTACTTAGCCACCTCTAGAACTATACTAGACCGCGGCCGCGTAAAATAGCTAAAAAACTACCACTATCTAGTAAACGCGGCGCATAGTACACAGAGAAGCACCTCACATAGATCCTACAATCCCTTTAAAAGCCGCCAATGTACTATACGCCTTAGCCAGAGCCTTAGTTTAGTAAATAAAGAAAGATAGAATCCTATCTAACCACACCCCCAGATACTTAGCTAATTCTATTAGTTTAATAGTAATATCTACAAATATAATTTCTATCTAGTCGTAGCCGGCTGGAGGCAGCGACACCTTCTATAGTTAATTTGGATAATCTAGAGAAAAACCCAAAGACGGGGGCGATAATTCTAGTTCTCGCGGGTTAGTAAAGTAGATAAGTTTAAATTTATCTAGCGTAAATTTAGATATATACCGGCTCGCCTAACAACCTACCCTAAATAGAGCCGTGTCTAGCATTTCAATATTCTTTATATAAATATCTAATATAATCAAAATACACGCGTCATCAATCCAGCTAAAGGCTATAATTAAACTACCCTAAGATCGTCATACATAGAAATTTTAAATAAGCGGAGTATTATAAATTAAATAGAGAATCGGGAATAGTAATAAGCTTTATAAAATATCT